CACACAAGGATGGAGCACACAGTGCATTACTGGTACCAAGCCATTACAAAATTGTGTAACACTCTTAATGTTGTCATTTTATCAGCCAACTTATGTTTTGAACCTGTAACTTGAACATAAAGTGACATAAGCTATAGCAGGAAAAGCACAATTTTGACCGTGTGACTGTATCTGCACACACATTTTGTGCCCGCATCAGTGTCAGTGGGATGTCACACCACTGACTCACACAACTTACTTGCTTAGGTCTGCACTTCTGGTGTGAGAGAGGAGCAAGAAAGAGAAAAGCCTCACAGAAATGAAAAGCTGAGTGCACCACATACCTACAAAGAAATCTCTGAATCCTTTTCTAGCAAGTAAATGAATTCACTAAACTACCTGCAAGGACTTGTTCGCTGAACACCTGCAAACCTTCTCCTAACAGTTTAAACTAACTTCTGTTTCCTGCTTTTGAATGACTGCTTCTTGACTAACTTTAAGAACACTGCCTGCAAGCTCTTTCAGAGCGAGCCTTATTTGTGTTTTTTTTTTTAAAAAAAGATTGCATTATAACTCTTATACTGAGCACATTGGAGATTAGGCCTTACGGGGTGGACCACTGCCTGGCCAAAAGCAGGCTGGCTAGGGCTTAGTGGACTTTATGCCACACACACAAATCTTCATCCCTGAAGCAAAACTAAAGTTAATCTTGTACTCAGATCCCAGCAACTAGAAAATCGGGTAGCAAGAAACTAAGACTCAAATAAAAATCCCAATGTCCCACACCACAAAAGATGGGATAAAAAGCATAACTTTACAGCCTACAAGCAGTAGGTAAGAGGGCTGTTTATTACTGAAAAATAAGACAGCTTCAGAGAATATTAATATAATGGCAAAATGGGGGCAACTCTCATGATACTGTAAGTACCAAATAGTAGGTAAGTGATCTCTCTAATGTGGGGAAAAAAAAAAAAAACAAAACCCCCAAAAAAGAACCAAAACACAGTAGGCAGAAAGGCTACCTGGTGCTTGTAGAAATGTGGACGAACTTTGACGGTGTCCTTCTCATCATGTCACATCACCTTCACAGGTAACGTTGTACAAGGACTCTGACGGAGAAGACTTTGGGTTCAGTGTCTCAGACGGCTTGTTGGAAAAAGGCGTGTATGTTAAAAACATCCGCCCCGCTGGCCCCGGCGACCTGGGAGGGTTAAAACCATACGACAGGCTCTTACAGGTAACGTTGGTTCCTGGCACCACGCAGGCTTGGCACGAACAGAGAAGACAAATCACTGTAAAAGTTCCAGAAACACTCTGCGGGGTGTTTAGGTGGCTGTGTACCCAGAAGTGACCATAGAAAACAGCCCAAAGTGGTTTCATTATTTATTTTAGGACAATCTTCATATCCACATTGCTTGTTAAGTTTTAAATGATGAGCAGTACTGTTCTTTTCTGCTTCTGCTAGGAAAGGATGTGTGTAGGGGGACAGGAAGAAGGACAAATGACCCTAATTGCTCTGCACCACAGGCCCTGGAAACCCCCAAGGCCCTCAATAAGAACAGGCAGCACTTCATGGTGACTTGGGCTTTTATGCAGTGGCACTAAGGATAGATTTTTCTGTAAAGTCGTATTTGAAGAAACAAATTCTTTCAGTGTTAGGGATTTCAGAACTCCAAAGAAGCCATACAAATGCCCACAGGAAAGATGGACAGATTTGTAATTTTTGCTGTTTGTGATACAGACCTGAGAATTGTTTCAGTGCTTAATCCATGTTGTTGACTGACAGAGTTGCAATAACATAATTCTCACTGAGCGCCACACTTCCCCCAGCACCAAGTTGGACCATGATGGAAAAAACTGTCAGTTAGCTCCATAAAACACATTATGTATGTTCATTAAAAACAGAGAAGGCCTGAACTGAATTGAAATTTTAGATGTGATTGGTTTCATTTAAATTAATGAACACTGTGAAAGACAGGGAAGTATGTGCTGTGAAATGTCTTTTATGGAGTGGGCAGTGACAGCTGCCAATGCCTGTGTAGATACAAGTACACCCACTTTAGCTACGTTCTGTTAAAGGGTGAGTAGAAAACTTAATTGGTGTCTTCAGACCAGCCGCCATGGTTAAACAGCCTCATACAGACGATTCCCTACCTGGAGTAATTCAATCCAGTTCCATAGTCTCAAGGATAAATCTGTTTATCGGCTCATGATCTCATGTCTCTTTCCTAAAACAATAACAAAACCCATCTTCTGATCGTTCAGGTGAACCACGTTCGCACCAGAGACTTTGACTGCTGTCTAGTCGTGCCCCTCATCGCCGAATCGGGCAACAAGCTTCCCGCTGGCAGCTCAGAAGGGGGGCTCAGAGCAGCAGAGCTCGGCGAGCGGGGAGTGGAGCGAGCAGAGTGACGCCTTCCTCCCGCCGCCCGGGCACCCCGGCCTGCACCCGGAGACACGGGACCCCACCAACACCTTATAGCGGCAGCTCCGCCCGCCGGACGCTCGGTGAGGGAAGACAATTATGGTGCTAAACCCCTCTGGGAGTTCTCCGAGATTGAGGCTCAGTTGTTACATAGCAGTAAAGCACAGGAGGTCAGTCTGTCTGTCTCAAGGCTTGTATTAACTCATGGTTACTTTTGGAAAAGTTTAATTCTTCATTAAGTCATTCCATTCTAAACAATCTAGCGTTAGCAACTGTACAAAAACTTGTACGGGCCTTTCTCCCACCAAGTAAGAAACTAGGGAGATGTTTTAAACGTGATTTAAATGTTCCTCTCCCTTCATCATCAGCTGCTGCTTGGAGGAAAAGCACAGAGTTAACCTCTGCTGACAGTGGTGTCTAGATTACAAGGTTTTTAAAAACATTTTATCAGGAAGGTTCTCTCTGATGGCCAAGGGAGAGTGGTGTGCTGCACTGGGTTTTCTTGTTAAATGGCCAGACCTGTGAATTTTGGGTACCTTTATTCTGCTGGCAAGAAGGGTGAGCTCTTCAGACAAAGCACGGTTTAGATGTTTTAACAACACGCTAGTAGAAAACTGCAGTACAGGGTGAACATTACTCCCCACTTTGGTAAATTCCGTTAGAGCTTATGTTATTCCCTATGCAATGAAATATTTAACAGGACGTCTTGCAACCTGTGGAGATTTTTTAAGCAGTTTTTTAGTGGGATGAAACCTCTGAAGGAAGCTTACTGACAATAGTAAAAGTGAAATGAGTTCAGACAAATTAGAAAGGTTTATAAAAGAAAATGGCTCTTCTAAAACTTTATCAGTAGAAGACTGATAGAAAAGCTCTTTAATGATCTGTAAACCTGTAAACTTGTACTGTCACACATGAGCTTTTTAAGTCAAACCATTTCTTGAAGGGACAAAGTCATCTTTAATACGCTTTGTTTTCAGCCTTCTTTACCATAACCATTACCCCCTGCAACACGTTTTTAGAATCTAAAATTGTAAATATATTTTACAAACACATCACACAAATTCTCTCCTCTCCCCCCAAGCAATAAAATACTGCCAGTTGCTTGATACGCTCACCAGCAGCTGCTTTTTGGTTTATTCCGGTATTCAAGTTGTTCTTGGTAATTCTTGTTATTGGTGAATATAAAGATACTGGATTTGTACATTTGTAGAGTCTCCATATCTCAGCAAATCACCTCACGGAGTTGTTTCTGGTCAATTTAAACTGTTTAACTGTATCCCTGTCGCTGTTTCCAATACATGAATAAGCTCACCTGCCCTGCACACGCAAGTATCTCTGATTTCTATTTCAGCACTGCCAGAAAAGGCCAGAATGACATTCAATGCTGAATCATGTAAAAAAAAAATATAAAAATTAAAAAAAATAATAATTTCATGAGTCACTTAAATATGTATTTTTATTTGTAACAAATAAGTATTAAACTGTAAAGTATTTTTGTACAAATTTAATACTTTAATAGCATGATATTTATCGTCCATGTTATGTTTTTTGAAATTCAAACTGTTGCAAATATTTGTATGGAAAAACTGTATAAATTGAAATAAACAGTGATTTAAAGACATTAAAAATGAGATAGCATTTTCTGACTTCATATTTTTTCCCCATATTTCTTCCAGTTTTAGCAAAATAAATACTTATTTTTGTGATGTACTTTTTCCTGACATATCTGCTAAAAAAAAAAAAAACAAACGAAAAAAATTTGTTAAAACTAAACAAACTGTCCAAATCTTAGTACAATTTATCTGATGTTTGATTAAACATTCACTTTATTGATCTCAAACATTACAAGGCGGCAAATCACAGTGTACAAAAAAAAAGTTTGAAAGAGAAGTGTTACTTGAATTCTGACATCAGCACATAGCTATTAGCTAAAGCAGCAGTGGCAAGTTCTACATCTCTTTCCAGTATAAACTGGGAAAAACTTTCTATGTCACTGATTGCAACTTTCTTGTTCTGTTTATAACAAGATTCGTAGATTTCTAAATTTCTAGATTTCTGGATTCATAATCCAGAAAAGCTTCAAGATGGATTTTGCCATTTGAAGATTTCTGGATTCATAATCCAGAAAAGCTTCATGCCCATGAATTCTGCCACATTAGGGGAAAAAAAAAAAATCTGAAGAACTCACCTTTGTAAACTATATTTTGACTCAAGAGCAGACTGCAGTTTTGTCCCATCGGTTCTGTAGCACTGCAAGATGGATAAATCCATAGATTTTGGATGGCTGTAGTCTTTAAATCTAGAAATCCCCTTGTATTATTTTAAGGGAACATCTGGATCCTGTAAGACCATAAATTCATTCCTCACCAAAACAAAAGAATGATATGAGCATTGATGACTGACACAGGAAGGATTCTCCTACTGAAAACGGATCCCGGAGAATACAAAAGGCTCTTCAAAACAAGCTGGTCTTATTGCAGAACATGCAATACAGGAAAGCCTTTGAAAATCATCTGCACACTCAACTTCCCTGTTCCAAAAATCTGGAATGAAACAGGTTCAAGAAAGGTTCATGGAGAGGACAGTTAATTGGTTGCTAGCTTTTGAAAAGCTTCCTAGGAGTTGGATTTCCCAAAGTTAGATTCTTAAGTCTGGAAGACCCAAGTGGGGAATCTTCTACTGTTGCCTGTCAAAAAAAAACAAAACTGTTTATCAGTTTGAACCAAAACTAAAATATGGTAACATCATAAAAAAAAACAAAAAACAAACACCTCTTTCCCCATGACAGATCTCAGAAATGAGACATAATGAAAAAAGCATCTGTTAAGTGTGTTTAAGACTGTTTAAAAATCAATGATTAAACCTGATAGAAATCTTTCTCAACAGGTCAGGTCTTAAAAACTGACTTCTGTACACAAAGAATAAGCTAATAGAGGCTAAGCTGGCTAATGGATCACTCCAAGGGGCAAGAGGATGCGCAAAGACAGTTACTGCTACTGACATTATAACTTACTTTTCCCTGTTAGTCTGGGGATTACTGTTATTATGGGGATATGTGCCGAACTTGACTGCTTCACCAATTACTGGTCAACTTGAAGGTTATTGAACAAGTAATAATGAAACAATCATAAGAGTATCCAGGTGACTTGAGGTGGTGGGAGAGTGCAAAAGTTTGTTTTAAACTTTTTCAGTAAGGAGGTACTTACAGAGGGTTTTTTCGTAGCATCCTCAGAATTCTCCGCAAGAGTTTGTTGTCTTTTACATGGACTTTGCTGCACACTGCCCTTCTGCTCCTCTTTATTGAGACCTGCTGACCCTTCCTGTTCAATCAAGTCAGTCAGATGTTCAGGAGCACCCTGAGTTACAGAAACAGACCGAGTCTCAAGCTCTTGACTCTGCCAGCTCTTTGGCAGGGGAGAGGAAGTTTGCCTGGGACAGCTGCTTGTTTCTGCGATGGCCTCTCTCAAAAATCTCTGCAGTCGAGTTTTTCTGGGCACGTTCTTGTTGGTGACAGCTCTCCTGAGGTGCAGCTCTTCGGCTACAACATAGACGCGGCAGCGTCCTCTGGTCACAGCGGTGTACACGTGCTGCCAGTGCTGGCGGCCGGGATTGCCGACCACGTAGACAACAGTTTTTTCCTCAGAACCCTGAAACGTGTTGAAGAATACCTTAGCAAATTAAGATCTCCAGTAAGTAGTTTAAAAAAAAAAAAATACATACATAGCTTATAAGAACAAGGAAATTGGAGACAAGTAGGGACATGTGCAAGAGTATCTTCTCTCCTGCATTTAAGGAATTTTAGTTTCAAGATAGCTGCTTACTCTTTCACATGACAATACAATGCATTAGCAGCATAGAGCCCTGAGAAATTTTTTATCAGCTCATAGTTTGCTTTTTTTACCTGAAACGTGTGAATAGTTCTGGCCCATGCATGTCTGATGCGACACAGCTTCTTCAGTGCTGCGTACTTCACAGTGAAAGTGGAGCCGTAGGTGCTGCTGAGGGTCAGCAAGCGTTGTTTATCAACCTCTACATCCTGAAAAAATAGCCCAAGGACACTCTAATCAGCACTTTGATCAGTGTCTACACAGCTGCTTTCCCTGAAATTACAATGGCTGCAATGTCAGCTGAGTGAAAGGGGTTCATAAGACACTAAACCCAGAAGATTGCTATCCTTCCGTGACCACCTTCAAGGAAAATAGTTTCACTGTACAAGGCCTACCCCAATTTCAAAGAAAAATGCTGAGACAGGCAGTTTTAACCCTTAGAAAACTAGATTATCTTAGGGTACAGTGAAATAATACCAGAGAGGCCTTTTAACAATTTGTTGCCACAACAAATGGAGAAGACCCTACTCTCTTCCACCATGGGAAAAGGTCCCCCTTTCCCATGCACAAATATTGATCGCTTCACTGGACCCTCTGCTGAGTAGAATCAACTCATTGAACCCAGCAGAAAAATGCAGGTTTTGGTCACTTTAATTGTCAAAATGCCCATTTATTTATTTTTTTTTTAAAATTCACTACTGCAGTTCTGCCTCTTTCTTGCCTTTCTCATGATAGTTTAGCAGAACAACTAAGTATGTATTATGGACTAAAATTTTAAAGTAAGTGTGAATTGTTTTGTTCCAGGGATTCAACAAGGACTGAATCAGTCACCACAATTTGTTTCTTCTTTGTGCAAGTTCTTGCAGCAAGGACTTACCCCTGTTATGAAAAATATATCCCCATTGCATAGTCGTTTGTCCTCCTCAGCAGGCTCTGTAGTGAATGTGGTTTCTCCACTTTTGCATTCATGGTGATTAGGGTCCTCCCTGAAACCACGCTCTGGCAAGAGATCCCTGAGATACGTATTCCGCATGCAGGAAATCTTGTCATCAATTTGAAATAAAAGTCGGTTTTTATGGTCTCTAGGTCAGAGAAAGAAAAAGAAAGAAATGTATTTACAAACCATGCACTCACCATCTCTCAGTACTTCTCTTTCCCCTCTCTATACTTGGGCCAGATTAAAAACCTTAATAACATTCACAACAGTTACCTCACATTTAAAAGATGTTTCTTGAACTTTTGTAAAAGCTTTTGGTAAAGAAGAGTAATATAGAGTGGCACCAAAATCATGCTTCCAAAGATACTTAAAATATATTTAGAAATCATACAGTGTCAATAAATAATTAACCTGGAGGGGTTTTTTTAGTTGCTTTTACATCAATTTTAAATATTCAGCAGTAACCCAAGATCTTGAAATTCAAATAATAATTTAAACAAAAGGCAAACAGCTTATATTATCTCTGTTCATGGTGCAGAATCTATCAAAAATAAAAAAATTGAAAGAATCTATCACATTATACAAATTATTTTTAACATAAATAATCAGATGTGGATGAAAAATTTAGTTCTACAATCTTATTTTAGGTCGTTGGCCTGGCTGTGACACTTTCAGAACCAGAGTGAGACTGTTCACAGGAAACTGCAGAACACTGGCTTACCTGGTTACGTGATTTGAGTAGTGTTGGCAACAAAGTTCATTTATTAGATCACAATCTTGCCTAAAGCACACAAAACAAAAAAACAGGAGTAAACTCACCACCTGAGGTTTCCATGCTCCTGTCACGGTTCACTTTATCAGTGACTATTAAACTTTCCAATCTTTCTTCAAACTGCTAAAGCCCTACACTCCACTCCTTAAATCACGAGTGTTGTGTTCCCAAAAATCCAAACTGTAGGCGTTCACCACTGCCCAGAGGGAGCACTAATGCCCATCAGATTATATGACTTAAAATTTGGTCAATGCCCAGCTGTGGCAGGAGCACATACAGACTATAGGTTATATGGCCCATCACACCCTGGAATTCACATCTGCCACCATGGCATACATTTGATTATGGACATTTCTTTGCAGTTCAGGGGCTCACCCTGCAGTTGAGCCCCTGAACCTTTCACTTCTGAAGAACACTGCACTATTAGTAGACTGTGGAGCAAAAACTCTACTACAAAAACTAACCATTTATGTCCATTCTTTGTTTCCCTAACATAAGCAGTGCAGATGAACATGAATGCAAAGGCAGAAACCCTGGTGCAAAATAACATGGAGCTTATAGAAAAATGAAGCAACTCTCCACAGAGAGACTGGAGGAACCAGAAAGTGCAGGAAAAGACATCTGGCCTGTTGCTCTCCCTAGAAATTTTATGATATTGCCACTAGTCTCTCCAACTCAACACATTCAGCTATTTTTAGATTGTGGCTGCTGGCAAGGATTTTTTCAAGGTCTGCCTGCAAGCTCCATTACCTCCTGAAAGCAATGAACTGTGATTGACTGGCATCCTCCAATCCTGGTCCTTTTTTAAGTAAAGTCTTTATGGCAGCTTGCAAATCTGTTTTAGAAGATATAAAAGGTAAAGCATAAAAATATGCAGAACAAACCGTTTAGGAAAGAAAAACAATTCAATATGAAATTGCTTTTGCTTGTTTCTTGCATCAATGACATTTCAAGTTAGTTTTAAAAAAAAACACACACAGAAACACCCACCCCCCCAAAAAAAAAAAAAATGACATCACAAAACACCCACATGTCTGCTTCTCAAAAAGAGTATCATGCAGTTATCCCACTACTAAAATCTGAGAGACAAGAATGATATGGAAGGAGATAAATTCTTATTTCTCTGTATTAAGCAGCTGGATAGAGTGCATTTCATGCAAAAAAAGGTTTTGATACAGCACATTAAAGAGGTAAAGATAGAACATTTTGAAGCCACAGGCCTATACATTTAAATTTCACAGAAGAAATCCAGTTCTAGTATTCTGTTTGCCAAGTAAGTTACTATAGTAAGATAAAGTTATGAGTCATACTATTTTTTCCCACATCCCCCTTGAAGCTTTCTAATGTGTGCAAAGCAGAGGCCACTCAATCCATTTCACCAATAAAGGTCAAAAACTCAAAATCAATGGCCCTAGCCCTGATCCCAAAGCAAGTTGAAAGCAATACAGGTGTCCTCTCTGCTTCTATTTTCCTAATTTAATTCTAGATTTGGGAGCACATTCCTGTCCAACACAACAATGCTGTTTACTCGAATGATCTACCTCTGAAAAATTTAATCTTATAAAGTTTCACAGCTTCAGCTACAACATAAAAAGCCAATACTAGTGGAAGCTGTACCACTCCTGTTCCAAAATGTAACTGGTGAGCTGGGGTTCTACAGCATATCCTCTCCACTCACGGGTCTTGCTGCGTGCAGTTACAATGCTAAAGGTAAACTATGAATCTAGCATTGACATTTCTACCACAAACAAAACTAGACTAAAATCTTCCCAGAACATTAGTTCCAGCCAAGTAGTCTATGCTTTACCAAAGGGAAAGTCACAGTGCAAAGTGGCTGCAGGCACGTACTGTTAGAGCCCCCGCCAGCAGGCAGTGCAATAAGAATGAATTTCTTCTCCGGGCTCGGCATCGTCACGTCCTCATTCCAATCAGAAACCTTCAGCACCTCGTCAAACTCAGGAAGCTTCCGGTGAGAGATTCTTGGTCAAAGAAGTAGAGGGAAAATAGAAAAGAAAAATTATTTCCAGTTAAAGGATTCCAGTGTATCATCATCTGCATCAGCCTGAAGTTAATCGCTTACAAATTTTTGGTCATCTACAATATGCACACCGAAAACTCCTTCTCTGGATCGTAATTTCACATTTTCAAAAGTGGGAATTTGTTCCCTAAATCCTTCAGCATTGCAGTAGATACTTAGTATTACTCATTCAGTTCTTCTCATGGGAGCAGACTGGAGTAACACAGAAGCATGTCCAAAAAAACCAGCTGAGAGTGTTGTAAAACACTTGGTAGTTCTGGAGATCTTGCAAATGTTCAGAATATTCTCAAATTCCAATCAATATTAAAAAGTCTTGGGCACCCACACCTACATTTTGTTGTTTTAGGAGGTACTAAAAAAATAAAAAATCATGCACTGATAGTAAATAGGATTATCTCCAGACCAAAAGTAATGCAAATCCTGGAGACATTCAGAGGTTCTAGGTATTAATACAGAAAAAAATAGAAAAAAAACCTATGATATAATGGCCCATGACATCTGAACTCTCAAGGTAATTCAGCTCGTTTTAGCTGTTGTCACACTTACCAGCACTGTCTTTAAAACTTCCTTTTTAGATAAACAACTGGAATTCATATCAGAAGACATAAAGTGATCCGTACATGCACAACTCATTTGAAAACAGAGTATTTGATAGTGAAATTCAAGAGTGTTCCAGCACACTTTTTTTTTTGTTGAATATCTATATAGTCCTAGAAAGAATTTGTGGGGTTTTGTTGTTGGTTTGAGAGTTTGTTTGTTGGGTTTTAAAACCAGTGTTACTGATTTTGATTAAGAAATCACAACAGAAGCAGTGCTATGGAGTCAAATCTGGATGCACTACTGTTTTGCAGGTAAAGGACCAGGCCTCTGCTAAGAATGCTAATTACATACATACAGAAATCCTACCTTGATGCATTATCTACAATTAGTTGTGATTCAGCTCTGTGATTAGTTCGCAGTTCCACAGAAAAGCCTTTTGATTTTAGACCCTCAAAGATATCAGCAAACATGTTTCCTGGGTCTATGCTTGGTAGCTGTCTAGTATCACCTAAACAAAATGGAAATTAGTATTTGTGAGAAGCAGTAACAGATCTTCTGTTAAAAACTGTCTTGAAAAAAAAAACCACTAGAATTAACAGATACTCAACCCTCTACACAGGAACATGCTTCCTCAACACAATTCATGTGAAATAAAGCTTCCAAGCATTTAAGAAACTTTGGGGAATCAGGCTATAATGCAGTTTAAATTTTTCATATTCTTCATTCAATAATATCCAGATGCAAATCACTCCACATGATGAACACTGACAGTGACCACATCTTATTCAAACACATTTTGGAAGTTACATCTTTAAAAACAAATGCCTTAAACGGCATGCCAAAAAGCAAGCCTATGAGGAAACCAGAAAAAAATTTGATTTTACAATTGTTTTCCTTTCTGAATTAAAACAAGATGATCCTAGCATTAAGAACAACATGAAATCTCCCTTCTCACATGTGATTAATATGCTAGCACTAGTTGCTTTAAATTTAAGGAAATAAGAAGTCTTCTCATCACTAGATGTGGTAGCACACGGAAGTCACGGTACTTTCAGAAACAGACAAAACATACTAAAGAGAGAAGAAAGGCACTGATACTTTCACACTGACAGCTGAGATGGAAAACTGCCTAGGTCATCCAACCTTATGGAACGGTTCATCTTGGGGGTGATCAAGCAGCAAGTGCAGGACAACAGGGGGATCAGGTCCAGCCAACACGGGTTGATGAAGGGCAAGTCCTGTTTGACCAATCTGACCTCCCTCTATGATCAGGTGACCCATCTAGTGG